GCTGCCAGGCCGACTCGGAGTGCCCGCGGCACCGGCGCTGCTGCTACAACGGCTGCGCCTACGCCTGCCTGGAGGCCGTGCCGCCCCCGCCAGGTAGGCGCCCGGGCCGGGGGAGGGCGCGGGTGGGCACCGCAGGTGAACTGTCCGGCGCTGCCCGGAGGGCCCGACTGCGAGGAACGGGGCTGAGCTGCGCGTACACCGGGGCCACCTGGACCGTCCGCCTGTGCAGTGGGACCAGAGCCGCTTAGTGAGCAAGCGTCCGGCTGGACGGACTGAGTGCCAGCTGTGGCCGGGCAGCCACCGCCTCAGAGAGCCACGGCCCAGGAAACACCCATTCCAGAGAAAATGCCTCCTCTTATGAGGTTGGGGGAGATTTCTCACTAAAAATCCACATTTCTGGCTGTTCTTAAAAATACTGGATGCATTCCTGGGGCCACCATCCACTGGAGCCCCAGGTGCCCCTCGATGGCAGCGGGGTCCTCCAGTTTTCCTCGGACCCCCCCAAGCCCACTTCACCCATGATGCCTGCCCCTGGGGGTGTTTGAGATGGATTCCTGGGACCTTAGCAGTCTGGGTGGGGTGTGCCCCAGGAGGCAGGGGGAGGCAGGCTCCTGGGTGCAAATCCATAGCTAGCTGGTCACCTCCTTCAATCTGCCCACCTGTGAAACAGGACTGACATGAGAGCATGCAGCTCATGGCAGAGTCTGAACATTGGGAAGTGCTCAGCCCGGCACTTATTGAGCAGATAATCAATAAGATGTTTGTGGAATCTTCATGCCAATCTCCGTGGGAGAAACAGTCCTCAGGGGTTCATCCTGGAAAGGAAGGAGTTTCAGATCTCTTCTGGAGAGAAGGTTGGGGAGCGGAGGTGGGGAGCGCATGGGGAACACCGAGGGGATGGGCAGCTACCACCCCCTGGGTGGAGAAATGCTTCTTTAAGTGCCTAGGATGGGGGCAGTAAATGTCCCCCTCTCTTGGTTCTGCTGGGGGCTGAGAGCCTTTAGTAACAACAGCTGGCTTGGTCTGCACCTGTCATCGAGAGGCTGCAGGTTCCCCTGGGCTTTAGTTCCTGAAGGCGGCCCTGAGACGGTGGCCCCAACCTGCTCCCAAGGCCAAAGCAAGAAAGACCACACTTTGTTTTCCTTGGCGTGAGGTCACAGCGATGACAAGGGACTCAGCACCCTTAATAATGCTCATAATTACAGTCTACCATGCGTTTCAGCACTGCCTCTTGGCCAGGGACGGGTGCTCAGGGCCAGGCTGGCTCCTACAGGGCCCCTTAGAAGAAAGACAAAATAGGGCACCCTCCTGGTGGAAGAAGCACACACAGGTACTCCCCTCTGGGTGGACGAGTCAAAAAAGGTGCCCCTTCCTTGGGACTGCGACAGGGCATAGGGCTTCTAGCCTCACTTGCCACCTAGGCCAGGTGCTTTTGAGGAGTGCACAAACTGTTCCATGACATTCCCAGTAGTCTTTCTACATCATCTCATTTAATGCTCACGCAGTCCCATGGGGTGGAGAGACTGTTATCAGCCCTGATTTACAGCTGAGGACACTGAAGCTCAGAGATGCTGAGTCACTTGCCCAAGGTCACACAGCAGGCAGAGCTGGAGTTTCAATCCAGTGTCCTGACTGTGGAGCAGTGTCTACTGGTTTAGGCCCTGAGTGCAGGGATATGGGGCCCCTAGCCCCATTTGTGGGGTCCTTCACTGCCCAGAACATCTTTCACCCAGGCACCCACACAGCTCACTTCCTCACCTCCTTCAGATCTTTGTCCAGAGGGGGTCACTTTCTCAGGGAAGATTTCCATCTCTAAATGGCAATCCCTCCTCCAGCCATTCCTTACCCCCCTTCCTGCTTAAGTTCATTCCTTACCCTCTTCCTGCTTAAGTTCATTCCTTACCCCCTTCCTGCTTAAGTTCATTCCTTACCCCCTTCCTGCTTAAGTTCATTCTTTACCCCCCTTCCTGCTTAAGTTTCCTTTATAGCACAATCTGCGATATTGTGTTTTATTTGTTTATTGACCCTTCCTCCCACTGGAAAGTCAGCCCCGTGAGGCAGGAGGTTTGGTCTCTTTCATTCCCTGCTGTATCCACACCACCTGAAACCGTCCCTGGGCACAGAAAAGATACTGAGTGAATCAATGAACGCTCGCTTTCACTGGCTGCAGGAAGGGCCATCAAACCATTAGTTAGTCATAATAACAATTAGAATAATCATATCTAACAGGGGTTTATCACCCTGAGCACGCTTCACATTTGGGGTTGGATGATTCGAGTTGAAGTGGGGGTGGGGCTGGCCTGGGCATTGTAGGGTGTTGAGCAGCATCCCTGGCCTCTACCCACTGGATGCCAGTAGCACCCCCACCCCACATTGTGACAACCAAAGATATCGCTAGACTTTGCTGAATGTTCCCTGGGGGACAGAAGCACTCCGAACTGAGAACCACTGATCTAACATGAGCAGCTGACTTGAGACACACCAGGCCCTGCTCTCAGCAGCCGGCACACTTCCCTGCAGTCTCCTGTGGGTTCCCTCCACAGCAGCCCCTGTGGTAAGGACTGGGGTGCAGGGAGTTTAGCAGGTGATCCCAGAAGTTCTATTGAGGGAGCAGAGGGGAGCTCCTGGGTCTCCAGGCTTTAGGGTTTTGCAGATTGATGGGAGGCCTCAACCAAGTTCAATCTTCCAAAAAGTATAGCAAAATGCACGCATTTCCCAGCTGCTCGGAAGCCTTAGAGCAATGCAGAGGAGAATACAAATAGTGAGTATTAATACGTTTCCTTTTTGATAAAAATAGCATTGGAAATACATTTTCTCACATGAAGTCCAAGGTGGTGGGAGAAGGAGGGAGGAACCAGAAGATTGGCAACAGTGTCTGCGGAAGCTCCGCAGGTCATGCCTCTAGTTCGGAAGTTTCAAATGCTGGTTTGTTCCTCCGTTGTTCAATTTCCACGTTGTGAGCAATCATCTCGTGCTTTTTTAAAGAAAAAGCTAATCAGCATTTTTACCAGTACCCATCTCTGTACTTTAAAGGGTGCTAGACAGCACAACAACCTCTTTATTTTTGTTACATTTTGGAGTCAAACTAAAGCAAAGGTCATACACAAATGTGACCCCAGACCTGTTTTATTTGATCTCAAAAGCGCTTAAAATGTTTAAAAATTAATTGCCAACATTTAAAAACCAGGAGTTTATATTTTTTAAAATATAGATTTAAATTTAAATAAAAAAACAAAAACCAAAAACCCAGAGGCTCTGGGAACCTGGGAATGGCCGGCCAGAGCTGATCCCAGCTGCCCCGGGGAGGCAGGAACAGTGTCCAGTCTGCTATGGTCCTGCTTGCCTTTCTCCTTTGTTACCTGTCTGCCACTGGAGGCATCTGGGCTTTCTACCCCTGCTCTGGGTTTTTGAAGACCTTCCAGTCTACTATGTGGGTCACTCTTCCTGTTACAAATGTATTGGTTAGAGGACAGGCTATGCTGCTATAACAAAAAGATCCATAAATCCAGGGGCCCAACCTGTTAGGCGTTTACTTCTCCCTAGGTTAATAGGCCAGAGTAGACAGGTGGTCCAGAGCAGGCAGGTGGCTCTGCTGCACAGTCATCCAGGGCCCCAGGTTCCCTTCATCGTGTTTCTCTGCATGGTCAGAGTAGCTCCCAGCCTCCAGGAAGATGGAAAGAGAGAGGGAGGGGAGCAAACAGGCATCAATGCAAGGGCAAGACAGGAAGTTGCATCATCACTTCTGCTCACATCCCATTGGCCAGAACTCAGTCACATGGCCACACCTAGCTGCAAGGGAGGCTGGGAAATGTAGTCTCCAGCTTGGCCACCCCCTGCCCAGCCAAAATTCAAAGGTTAGTAAAAGGAAGGGGCAAACGTATGCTGGAGAATCACAGTTGTTTCTCCCACAAGGAGCCTCTGTGTTGCATCATAGAATGTAGGCTCCCCCGCCCCTAGGGGCTGGGGCGTTTCTTAGCTGCCTGAGGAGGGCCTCGATTTAACCATGTATTGTGTTAGTTTTAGACTGGCTGGTGCAGCCGAAACCTCGATGGCTTGGTGGCAATGGCTGGCTCCTGGATGGCCCTGAGGAGACGTTGCAAGGTACCTCCAGGGTGAAGCCCAACCCGACACCAAAGCCAGGTCCTCCTTTCCCAGGATGCCACCAGGAAACTGATGACAGGGGCTGCCTCTGCTCCAGCAGGCTGTCTGTCCCCAAATACAAATATCTCCCCAAGATATCATGGATCCTCCCCCACTGCAGCACAGAGGGTGATGGCTGGGGCCTGGCCAGGCTCTCAGAACCCCCAGGAGAGTGTCGGGTTGACCCTCCCTGGGAACGGGGCCTCCTTCCTGGGAGGTGGCTTGGGGTCGGTTATCAGATCCCTAAAATCATAAGGTGTTCGGTGCTCCCTGATGATGAGGCCTCCTTCCAGGGTGGGTGGAGAGCAGTCTCTGAAAGGAACAACAGGCAGGCCCAGGGGCCCAGAGAATTATAGGGGTTCGAGGGTGTACATTTGTGGGTGTGCAGCTGTGCTCATGGTTCTGCACACATCTGGGTGTGTGACTGTGTCCCTGAGGGTATGCAGCTGTGCCTGCAGTTGTGTGGCTGTTCTTGTGGCTATGTGTCTGAATACGTGTACATCGGTGTGCATGCAAATGTGTGTGACTGTAGGTGTGAGTGTGTGTGCGTGCCGGATTTGTGTGTGTGAACATGTGTGTACACATGTGACTGTAAGCATGAGCATATGTGTTTCAGGGTGTGTGGGTGAACATGTATGTATGGCTGTCACTGTGCGTGTGAAGGCATGTTTGGGATCCTATGACTTTGGACTGCCCCTGTGTGCATGCACCTGTGTGTACGTATGTTCATGTGCACACGTGTGCCACTGTGAGTGCGACCCGAGGCACAGCCTGGAGTGTGGGGTGCAGATGACAGATGGGGTACCCTCTGGGTAACATGCATTCACTGCCCCCATGGGGGGCTGTCCCTGAGACCGTGGTGTGTGTCCCTCCCACAGCAGAGGCATGCAGCACCACGGAGGATGGGGCAGAGCCACTCCTCTGCCCCTCGGGCTACGAGTGCCACATCCTGAGCCCAGGTGACATGGCTGAGGGCATCCCCAACCGCGGGCAGTGCGTCAAGCAGCGCCAGCCATCAGGTGAGTATGGGCGCCCAAGCCCTGTCTCAGCCACACTCTCCGTGTAGCTACCCCTGGAGACCTGTCCCAGAGAAACCATCACCCGAGCCTGGGAGTGCTCCTTCGTCCTCCTCCTGCCCTGCCACTCCTTCTGGGTTCTTCACCCCTCGCCTGCACGTGATACGGGCCCTCAAGCAGGCAGAGTGGCTGCAAAGCCCTGCTCTGCCACCTTTTAGTGGGCTGACCTTGGGGTCAGTTGTTTCAAATCTCTGAGCCTCAGTTTTCTTAACTGTAAAATGGGGCCACTTTATGCTGTTGGGGGATTAATTTAAATCATACATGGAAAGCCAAGTGATGACAGGTGCTCAGTAAATGTCAGGTATTTCATACGCATCTAGACATATCTGTGTTTTGAGTTATCTGAGAACCCCTAACTTCCCAGGACCTCTGCTAGGACCAGTCGGTGTGACTTAATTAGTCCTTGTCTTTGGAGATAAAGCAATAAATAGATCAGCAAAGGGCACGAATAGCGTTGCTTCGGTTTGCATAATTTTCCGAAGGAGGGCAAGGACGGCTGGTGGTACCTAGAGCCCGCAGGTGCCTCATGCAGGGCGTAAGGCTGAGAGGTTTGACGTGGAGTTTGGCAGAAATGTGTGGCAGGCGAAGAATCTGGAACTTAAGGGAGGGGTAGGGTAACCTTGTCGAAGCTGAGCTCATTGGAACTCTGAGACCATACAGTCCACGGCTCGCGTCCCCACTTCTGCACCTCTTAGTCCTAGTAGCTGAGGACAGCACCCTCAGTCACAATTGTGGAAAATTACAGCCACCCTGTTGGCCAGAAGAACCTATCGGGGTGCATGACCTGCCGAAGCATTTTTTTTCCTGATTTGAGAATTTATTTCCCCGAAGTGTTTCAAGAAAGACATAGGTGTTAAGTCATTTACACATTTAGCATCATTATCAATGCAAATAAAAATTATGAGACATTAAAAGTGTCTCAAGAATCCCGGTTCCTGGAATTCTTAGCTTTGAAAAAATTGCCTATAGAAGGATCTGAACCAACTAGGCATTGTCGTGGTTTCTCCTCTGTTCCACATGCATTTGGGGTTAGGAGCGATTTCTCCGGCCAGACAGCCTGGGTTCCAAGAGCTGCTTGGCCTCTCACTGCTGTGGGTGCCAATAGCCTAACCTTCTCGGGCCTCATTTTCCTTGTCTGTAAAATGAGTTAAGCATAGTTAAGCTGCTTCACGGACTCTCTGAGGAAGCCACGTAAACCACGGCTGTGACTTTGAGAGCACAGAACAGAAGCTCAGCTATTTGTATCATTGTTCTGGACAACGGACGCTGGACACCAAAGCACACCGTAAGGGGATGGGGTATGCGGTCCTTCAAATGCAAAACCCCGAGGGCAGGCCAGCCTGCAGGAACCTGCTGGAGTGTGGAAGGAACAGCCTTTTCCCAAAGAGAGCGGTGGGGCAGGTTAGGAGTCCTTTGGACTGCAATGTCATTTCTATAACCAGAAAGGCTGGGCACTACTTCACCTCTCTATCTTCTGATCTTGCTCATTCATTTATATGACCTCCAAGACCAGGGTAAGCCAAACCAGTTCAAACCGGTTCTGGAGGGTCCAAACCAGTTCAAAACAGACCCACTTCCAGGATGAAGATAAGCAGAGAGCAGACCAGTGCCTGCCTGCACTAAGGATGCCCCTGTTGGTTGAGCACCTTACAGGTGCCCTCCTGAAGCTTTACTGCAAGCCTGCAAAAGAAGTTTAACCAGAAGGCGGCGTGTATGATTAAGAATGCAGGCTCAGAACCACTGAACCAGGTTCCAATCATGCAGCTTTCCTCCTGGTGACCTTGGGCAGGTAACCTAACCTTCCTTAGCCTCAGTTTCTTCATCTGTGTCCTGGAGATGGGGATGGTCCCCATAGTAATTGCTCTGGGGTAGTTATGAGGCTTGAAAGAGAGAACATCCATAAAGAGCTTAGAGCAGAGTAGGTCCTCAACAAATGTGTGCCGCCATCATCTCTGCCCATGGGAGAGGGAGGACTTGAGATTAGAGACTTGCCCAGACAATGCCCACGGCTGCCAAGGAGCAGAGTGGGAATTCTGGGCCTGTTCACCTGCTCCGACACCTGTGTGTGTGTATGTGTGTTCTCCCCCTCCCACAGGAATAATCTGAGCCTTCCAGATGACAGTGTAAGTGAAATTCCCTCTAGCATTGTCTCCGGGGGGACATCGCAGGGAGCTGTCACTCAGCAATAATTTTTGGTAATTATACAGAAGTTTGGAAACATCTTGAATTCCAACAAGTTCCCTTGGAGCAGTGGTCTCAGGGAGGAGCAGGGCACTCTTGTCCCAGGGTAACCAAGGAAGAAGCCTGTTATTTAAGTTTTGTTTTTTAAATACATATTTGAGATAATTTCAGACTCACAGAAAAGTGGCAAGAATAGCACCTTGGACCCTCCACCCCAATCCATCAATTGTTAAAATACTGTCACATTGGGGGCCGCCCCGGTGACATAGTGGTTAAGTTTGCCCAGTTCACTTTGGCAGCCCAGGGTTCACGGGTTTGGATCCCAGTCGCGGACCTACACACCGCTCATCAAGCCATGCTGTGGTGGCGTTCCATATACAAAATAGAGGAAGACTGGCACAGATGTTAGCTCAGGGACAGTCTTCCTCACCAAAAAAAAAAAAATACCGTCACGTTGGCTTCGTCATTCTCTCTCTCCCTCTCCCCAACCCCCACTCTCTCTCCATATAAACCTATCTATTTTTCTGGACTATTTGAGAATAAGTTGCAGATCTCATGCCCGCACTAAGACGCAAGTCTCTGAGAGCCAGCTTCCAGAGGGTGCCGAGGATCATTCAGGTTCTATGGTCTGTCAGCCTGGAACCTGACGTTCGAGGGGTTCGTGTCTTTCTCAAGAGGAAAATGAACATCGACACAGGCAGGAAATCTGATTTTCAGAAAGCAGGGTGAGGGGGAATCAGAGCATTTTTCTGAGGGGTTTCGAGGGCACTCTGAGGCTGAGCGTCCAGGGCCGAGACGGGGAGATGGGGCTCCATGCTTGCCTCTGACGTAACTTCCCGGGATGCTGTGTGAGGAGAATAAAGTGGGGCCACGCAGCCTTGAGCAGGGGAATCTGTTTTGGAAAAGTGACATGGGGTCACTTCTGGTGTACACCCTCCCTGTGAGAGGGTGCCCAGATCCGCAGGTACCTCTGTCTCGCCCTGTAGCATCACGGCCAGATTCCTCCTCAAGGAGGTGGGAGGTCAGGACCGGCTCAGGGAGCCTCGGGCCTGGAAAAACTCTGCCTCGTGCTTCGGAAAATAGTTGTTACTGCGGTAGCTGATAAGCTGTCCGCCTGAGGGTGGATCGCTCCATTCGGTTCTCTTGCCTTATGCCATAAACGTCAGTGCTGGTCCTAGAGGGCCTGATGATTTTTAGGATGGTCACAAAACAACAGAAAACAAAATGTCCGTCTGTGGCACAAATACGACTTTTTAGTGAGCTGTAATTGACAGATAACATTATATTAGTTTCAGGTGCATAAATGTGATTTATCAATGTTCTAGCAGTCAGACAAGGCTGATGTACTGAGGTGGGGAAGCAAGCTAACTGATGGCGGCATTGCCAAGCGTGTTCTGGCCTGACTTCCCCACTCTCCCACGAATGCTTCACTGCCGTGGTGGGTGGGGGCTGAGGGAAGGGGTGGGGTGGATGACAGTCCACAGCGGGAATTATGTAGTAGAAATTCTTAGTAATTTAAGACATATGAAATTGCCAAGAGTTGACCACTTTTTGCCTACAAAAATGGCAGTTCATATGGTTCCTCCTAATATTTGCACATATATGTGTTTTAAATGATTTCTTTGGGGCCAGCCCTGTGGCTTAGCGGTTGAGTGCGCGCGCGCGCTGCTGGCAGCCCAGGCCCAGATCCCCGGTGCGCACCGACGCACCACTTCTCCGGCCTCATGGCCACGTCCCACATACAGCAACTAGAAGGATGTGCAGCTATGATGTACAACTGTCTACTGGGGCTTTGGGGAAAAAAAATAAATAAATGATTTCTTTTAATCCTCGCAGTAACTTCAGAGGTGCTGATTTTATGCCCACTTCCAGGTGTGAAAACGGGCTCAGAGAGGATTAGTGGAGCAGTGAAGACTCACCCTCGAGTTCTTTGTCATTCGCAGTAATGACATTCAAGTCTCTTTTGGACGGGCTCTGAAGAGTACCACTGGCTCCCACGTGAACGTGTTTTGTAGTGACAGTTGCTGAACAACATGTTGAACTTTTGCTTCCAGCTCATCTGTTAAGACAGCGGTTCCCAACCTTTTTGGTCTCAGGACTCCTTTATACTCACAAAATATTGATGACCCCATAGAGCCCTCTTTGGTGTGGGCATGGACATTAGCTGCGATATCACATGTCATGTAGCCTCTGGAAAATTCTACTGTACACTCATGAGAGAATGAGAGTGAAAAACACAAATAATTCCCTGGTATTATTATGAAAATACTCGGGGGCTTTAAACTCCCTGAAAAGAGTTTAATTCTCTCACTTGTTTTCCAGATGGGCGACTCCTACGACACAAACTTTACAAAGAATATCCAGGTAGGAGGAGACACCGCTCTTTCTCTGCAGGGTGCTAGAAAGGTCAAGGAGCATTTATTGGGTGAAGAAGAAAAGTACAGTCCCGTGGACTGTTATGAGCGCCCCAGGTTGAAGCTGCTCAGTGGGGACACGGCCGTATTCTCCCAGCCACGTTCATGCCATCAGGTGGCTCTTCGCGGGTGAGGTGGTAGGGTGCCAAGATGCTTCTGTTGTGAAATCTCCTCCAGCCTGAGCCGTCCTCCAGTGGCATCTGACACGGGCAGGAGCCATTCCAGGCTGCAGGCTGGGACTAGGCGGCTGCTCAGGGGCGTCTCACAGGGGACAAGCGGGAAGTAGGATTGGGAAATAAAGTCAAAGCCCTGTTGTCTGATGATGGGCAGGGGAGGTGTGAGCCAGAGGGGGGCTCGCAGCAAAAAAAGGGCTCATGTTAAACATCAGAACCTGGGGCTAGTTATGGTTAAGTCCCTCCTATTTTCAGTCAGGGAACTAGAAATATGGCTGACACCATCCTTCCATCCAGTCATCCATCCACTCATCCATTGATCCATCCATCCATCCAATCTTCCATCCATCCATAATACATACATACATACATTCTTCCATCCATCATCCATCCATCCATCCATCCATCCATCCATCCATCCATCATATCTTTATTAAGAATTGACAGCAAGGGCCGGCCCCGTGGCGTAGCAGCGGCCCAGGGTTCGCAGGTTCGGATCCCGGGTGTGCACCGACGCACCGCTTGTCAAGCCATGCTGTGGCGGCGTCCCATATAGAGTGAAGGAAGTTGGGCACGGATGTTAGCCCAGGGCCGGTCTTCCTCAGCAAAAAGAGGAGGATTGGCATCGGATGTTCGCTCAGGGCTAATCTTCCTCACAAAAAAAAAAAAAAAGAATTGACAGCACATATTTATCAGCACATATTTATGAAGCTTCATTCTGTGCTGGAGGTTGGGGCTACCTTGGTGAACATGGCAGACCCAGTCCCTGCCATCGTGCAGCCAATATCAAACAGGAAATTCAAATATTAATAAAGCCCAATGGTTATTTAGTGACAATAGTGATCAAGGTGATTGAGGTCACATACAGGACACTGTGAAAAGGACATCTTAGACTAGGATGTCAAAGAAGACTTCCTGAGGGGGCGGAACTAAAGCTCAGCCTAAAGAATAAGAGATAGTGGGCAGAGGAACGGCAAGTGTGAAAATCCTGAGGTTGGCAGCAACTTGGCCGTCACGGCAGCTGGCGTATAGTGAGCAGGGGGAGAGTGGCAGGAGATGAGGCCAGAAACGTAGGCGGTGGGGCCCGGGCGAGGAGAGGGGAGAGGCTGCAGGTGGGGATTGGGTGACCTCACCTGGGGAGAAACGGGGCCAGGGCCAGGGTGCCCTGCAGGCTATTCTGAGGTATTTGACTCAATTTGGCAGTGGCTGGTGAGCCCTGAGCATTGGAGCAGGAATCGGCACACCAGCCCTGACAGCCCATTTCTCTTTGCAGAGGGCGACTCCAAGAACGTGGCAGAGCACGGGAAAGGACAGCAGAGACACCTTCAATAGTGCAACCACAGCAGGTAAGCGGGAGGAGTAATGAGTCCACCGCAGGCGGTGGGTGTGGGCAGCCGGGGTCCTAGGTGGCTTTAATCACCAAGTCAACCAGTGGGAGGGTGGGAGTGGGCTTTACTTGCGGGTAGAATTTTTAAATTCCCTTATAATTTCAAAGTGAGCATTGGAGAACTTTGTGTGTAATCAGAAGTGAAAGTTTCCATACTCTCTGGACCTAAATCAGAAGACTAGACGAGGCTGTAACTTTCTTTCCATTCCTTTGTCTTGATGCCTCCACAAACAGACGGACAGGTCCTCCATTGTCCCATGGAGTCTGTCCCTCTGTCTCTCCCTCCGTCTGTCACACAACACTGTCGAGCGTCAGCCCTATGATGGGCCTGTGCAGGCATGGTACTCAGCAGTCGTTCATGGATGTCTGTGTATGCCAGGCGTGCTGGGGTAACACAGAGAATGCATCAGAGACCTCCTGCTCTCACAGGGCTCACATCCTAGTAGGAGACTAAACAAGCCAACAAGTAAATCAGCAAGACAGTGACAGACTGCAGCGAGTGTTGTGAAGGAAAGGGGCAGGTGATGTGATGCAGAGTAACCGGGTGGGAAGACCTGGAGAACGGGCACCCAGGCAGAAGGAGCCAGAAGAGCAGAAGTCCCGAGGCAGGAAAGATCTTGGCTTTGAGGAACCACAGGGAGGCACCTGCTGGGGGGAACAGAATGATGGCGGGGGAGGTGGGCACCAGAGGAGATCACTAGGTAAGGCAGGCACGGGCTCTGCTCTCAGACACTCTCCGGGGTGAGATGCAGGTGGGTGCCAAGGGCTGTGGGATCGCAGCAATGGAGGAGTCTCAGTTGGTAAAACCTGAGTACCCACCCATCCCCTGTAGAAGCTGAATGTCTACACATGGTAAACAAAAGCCCTTGAGAGTGAACAATTTCCCCAGGATGTCCTTGAAAGGCAAACATCAGGTTTCAGATTCCAGAATATTCAGGTGTGAGTCCTCCAGGAAAATCGAGAGCCCTTGAGGATTGATGCCAGCGTGTCTATTACCTGCTGATGACAGGAGCAGTCCTTGGAGTGGGTCTGACCCACCTGAGGACTGTGAACTTCGGCGGGGAAGTGCTGGGGACCCGGGGGGAAGAACAGGGTTTAGGATGGCTTTTAGGAGCCGGCCAACGTGGGTTTAAGCTCTTGCTCCACCACCATATGACCCTAGGCAAATGACTTCAACTCGCCATGCCTCAGTTTCCTCATCTGTAGAATGGGAATGATGGGGAAGGATGTGTTAGGAACTAAATAGTGTGGTACCCGTAGAGACTTAACAGTAAGTTAAGAATTTAATCTTCGTGGAAACTGGCATCTTTCTGGTGGGTGAGGAGGAAGGGGATGACAGATTCGTGACCCCATGTTCTACCCAAGCAGCGGCTCATATTCGTTCCTTCTTTGCTTCCCTTTCAGCCAATTTGCAAGAACATTCCTCCACTTTCTGCTAAGCCTTGGAAATAGTTGGGTAAAAATGATGTGACCCCCAGAGGTCACGCCCAACTCAGCAGATCCTGACCCCAGAAAGACCGGACGCCTGGCTGTCAGCCCCAGCTTGGCCCCACCTGGCTGGGTGACTTTCTGGGAGCCACTTACCAGCGCTGGATCCCCGTTTTATCATCCTGGAAACAAGGCACACTAGGAATCGCATTTGACCCTACAGCTCCACAGCTCCCCACTGGGAAGAAGCCACTGCCTCCGTGAGCGTGTCCGCAGCTCCTGTCTAAGACGGAGTTCACTGTCCTGGTTACTTACAGGTGTCCTCCAGGTCTGACTCTGGGAGGCATGCCCCCATCCGAAATGTTCTCAAAGTAAATTTACTCCTCATAAAATGGAAATGCACTCACCTACGTGCGTGATTCATGGTTTTAACCACCTGAGGATCTTATATTGAATGTGCTGAAGCCACTGAGTCCTAGGGTGGGTGAGGGGGCTGTTACCGGGATGAGCGGTCAGCTCCGCTCTGCTCTGGAACCAGGAACACCTGGGCCCGTGCGCTCTCTTGTGGCTTGGATCCCTCTGCAGCAGGCCTTGGGAAGAGGGTTTGTTGAAAGCGATTTATGAGGAAAGTTCCTGGGGACAACTAGCAGAGGGATGGGGAAGTGAGAAAGGGGAGAAGGAGGTCAAGCAAGGTGAGGGGTCAAGATTCCGTGGAGGGTAACTTTGGCGCCATCCCCTTGGGGCTCCTAGAGGCAGCCTGAGTCCCACCAGGGCCCCCGAGGGGGAACCCGTGCGCTTGCTCAGAACGGCCCTCCGCTTGGTGTGATGGACAACAGGGCCCGTGTGTTCGTTTTGCAAATAGCACTGTGGCTACGAGTCACGCTGTGGAGTGGGCCTATCAGGAGACAAGGGAGCTGAGCGTGTATACGGCTCCCAGCACCCCCCAGTGATGGGGTACGGGGGGCCCTTGCAGGAGGGGCTATCAATTCCAGGGGCAGCCCACTTCCTGCACACACAGGACCCAAGGGCATGTGGGCAGAGCCCCAGGGGTATCTGTTACACAACCAGATCTCAACAGTGTCTGCACAAGAAAGGACACACACACACACACAGGCTGTGGGGGATGATTCAGTTCACCCAGCGGCTCGTCCCTTTCCAAAGAGCCCCATGGCGACTGGTGTGAATCAACCATTTGGCAAGACTCCACCTTTTGAATTCCAAAACGGGCTTGTGTGGAGACAACCCCTGAGTACCCATATTTTACAAACAAGCAGCTCTCCTCTCCCCTACCCCCACCCATGCGCCCACTCTTTCTCCCCATAAATCCATATTCTCTTGGAAAATACTCCAAGCCCAGTTTTAAGTGGAGATTGATGACTGATAGGCCTTTTTTTTGGGTCATTTCTGAGTCTCAGTGCATTCATATTGCTCAAGAATTATTTTCTTATTTCATTTCTGTGTGTGGAACATGAGAGAAAAACAGTCAAGCAATTCATGTAAAAATTGTATAAAGTGTGCATCTGTCACACTGCCTGGGGAGGTTTGACCTTCACACTGACAAGAAAGACAGATGAGTTTACCCAAGAATAGCAAGTCCGACAGGAGACAGATACGACTGCCATTTCAGAGTGAGGTTTATGTCTATCCGTTCCAGGCACGAGCCATGTTGTGGAATTTATGCACGTGATTTCTGTGGGGCAAGCTGGCACGGGTCACTCATCAAGTCCCCAGCACCCCCCTTGTCCTGGAGGGTCCATCTCACCTGCGTGGAAGGGACCTGGGGCCTGAGGTTGGCTGAAGCTCCCGGGGGAGAGGGGTCCTCACAAGCGGCCAGGCTCATCAGGGCTGAGGACCACACGTCTAAGGGACTGTCCACTCCATGGCTGGCCACACGTGGTGGAGGCAAACAGTTAGAACCTGCAGAGACTTGAGTGTGCCTGGCATGTCCCACGCATCTCCCAGATGAGGAGACTGAGTGAGTGTCAGAGATCTGAAAGGACTCACCCAAAGTCACACGACTGATAAGATAAGAGCCGGGGCCAGGATTCCACCCAGGTCTGCCCCACCCACGGCTCAGGCTCCAGACACCCAGCTGTTCTGCTGGTTCTGGCCTGGTGAAGCGGATTCCCTCCAGCCACTGAGGCCCAGAAGGGGACACTGCTGGTGTGCAGACTTGCAAAGGGCTCTGGGGACAGGGCTGAGCTCATCCCTACTTCTGGAGGGCTGCCCACTAGATGGGGTGGAGAGAGGAGAGACTGGTCAACCTGGGTGCCAATCCTGGGCGAGGCACTCACCCTCACTGAGCCTCAGTTTCTTCCTCTGTGAAATGAGTGTGATAAGAGTGGCTGCCTTCAGAGTTGGCGGGGGGATTCTGTGAGATGATAGCAAGTGCTCGGTGGGCATGGTTATGCCCCCAGTTGAGAACCTCTGGTTAAAGCTAAAATAACGAGACTCTAATTTGCATCACTTCATCCATTCAGTCAGTTCCGTGGGAGCATTTTCCCCTTAGGTTCAGGGTAATTAATTAACTTTCCCACTCACTCATCACTTCTTCTCATACATTCATTCTATCAAGACCACCTTTTCTTGGAGAGCCCAAGAGGCACGTTGTTTCGTCTTTCCACATCCCTGAAGTTGGGATGTGTCACCGCTTCGGCCACCAGCAGGAGGCATCAATGCCAGCACGTGAGCACGTCGAAACATGCCGGTTGGGTGTAAGCGGCTTGGCGGAAACTTCCAGGAAACACAGAGGAACCGTCTTCTGGGAAATTCTGCATCATCAGCACTCCCGGGGATTCAGAGGGCGTGTTGACAGAAAAACTCGGATATTGGCGACTCTGAGCAGAAAAATGATTCAGAAGAGTTGGATCCAAATGTGGTGATGTTCTCGGAAATACCTTATCCGATTTATTTCTTTTATATTGTCTGTTTGATGTACAAGAATGGCACTTAATTAAAATCTATGTCTGAATAAGTCTGAAAGAGGTTTGTAATAAGTTTGAAGGACAATGAGGTGAAGGGTGTGAAAATGGACAGGCTGAGGAAGGCTGTTCCCAGGGCTGAGGCGGAGGAAGGCAGAGGACGCAGTGGAGGCCCCCGCCTGGCACTGGAGGGGTCCAAGGGGCTCTCGGTCCCCTGTGCTGGTGGCAAGGACAGCATCCCAGCTCCAACCCGCTGCGGAAAGTCGGGCCTCAGGGAAGGGCAGGGTGGAGGATCAGCCGGGGCTGCGGCTTTGGTGCTGGGCCGACAGGTTCAAGTCCCGGCTCTGACACTTGCTAGTGCATGACTTCGCACAAGTTCTTCACTGTGCCTCAGTTTCCCCATACGTAGAAGAGAGTGGTGACACTCCAGGGCTATGAGGAGTGAAAGAGTTAAAATATCTGCGGTCCTCAGAACAATGCCTGGCTCATGGTAGTCTTCTCTAAGTGCTTGCTGCTGTTGTTGTTGTTACTATGATCTCGAAAGAAGAACGGACCGACCACGCTTGGGAAGAGAGGGCCTCACCTGGGCTTCAGGAACAGTAGGAACCAGGGATGGAGTCTCCCAGTTCCGTCTGTCTTCTCTGGGCAGAGTGACCGTCTCCTGGTGAAATGTGGCAGCTCCAGACTCCATCCTGCACGCCCATCCCCAGAACGGGACAGGAAGGGAAACAGCTCGCTGCCCCTCTGACCTCCTGGGAAAGGCGCCTGGATCTGTGCCCATCAACTGAGGCCAAGGAAGGGGACGAAAGAACTGGCAGCTCCCCGTTAGCAATGGCAATGGGGGTGACAGTGGGGATGGTGCACCAGCAGGGGGTCCCGGGAGAATGACACATGGGGGTGGGCAGACAGCCTTCTAGATGTCCACCAGAGACCTCATTTCACAAGGGAGGACAGTAGGACCCCACACTTGGCAGAGATAGGTGGGTGGTTAACCCTTCGGGGACTCCCTCCGTTCCCTGCACTCGCGTTGTATTGTTACGTTACTCCTCGTGGCAACCTTCCACAGCAGCCAGCACCTTCTAGCACTTACTATGTGCCAGGGCCTCTGTCAGCCCTTTACAGAAACTAACAGCTCCTCTGAGCTATCCCAGCCCAGGAGGAAGACACTATTAACACCCATTTTACAGATGAGGGAAACTGAGGCCCAGAGAAATAAAGTCACTTAGCAAGGGTCACACAGCTAGTAGATGGCAGAGTGAGGACACAGACCTGAGTAATCTGATTCCAGAGTCCTTGGGAGGAGGGACTTTGTCTTTTTTTTTTTTAATCAGCAAGATAAAGGCGTTAATTTGTGTAAGTACATGAACATACGTAGGTATTGTGTTTTTGATAAAATATCTTACTTGATTATGACATTCTTCTCGCTGCAGCCATTCAGAGTAGAGAGATATTACATAGTTATTGTTCGTCTCCTAGGAAGTACAAATGACAGGAAGCCTTTCCAGAGAAGATTGTAGGAAGGAAAGAATGCGTTGGTTCTTTTTTTTTTTTTTGCCACTAATTGTCCAAGTCAGATTATACCTCATACTAACGTCATTGACCTGTTTTTCTTTTTCTTTTTAAAAAAGAATTTTTAAAAACTTTTGATTTGAAATAAGGTAAATTCACAGGACATGCAAAGACACGTACAGGGAGGTCCGCCTTCCCCATGGTAGCACCAGGTAACTGCAGCCCAATACGGCAACCGGGAAGCTGCCCTTGGCACCATTCACAGAGGCACAGTTTTCTCCAGTTCCACAGAGGCAGCCCAGAGGGGTGAGATACTTGGCCCACGGCCACCCAGCCTGGAACGGGCTGTGCGGGCCGCTGGGACGTCAGAGCCCTGCCTCCCACTCTCCATTCTTCCAGGAACGGGAGGCCAGCTTCCCCACCCACAATCCACAGTCTGGAGTTTTCTCTCTTGCCACAGCAGGTCTCCCATATTGAAGAGACCACAGAGGCCGTGGCCAGCTCTCTGGCTCCCTGGGGTCCACTCCACAGCCTTGAGGGGCAGAAGTGGCCCAGCTTTGGAGAGGGCTGCGTCCCTCCTGACAGCAAACAGGGCCTCGGAGCACGGCCGGCAGAAGGGGCACCGGGAAGCTGAGAAACAGGGGCAAGTCTGTGGGCAGTCCAAGGTCCCTGAGAAGAGACTGGACCCCTGGGCACTTGGCCGAGGGCAGGGGCCTCACCCACTGAAACTACTTTTCCAGAAGAACAAACTTAAGTAAACAATCCCTCTGTTCCTGGAGCAGAATGACATGGCCACAGTCTTTCCCGCAGCTTTTTCCATCTGAGCTGCTGGGATTAAGTAACCCCCCCGCCCTTGCCCCCGGCCCCAAGTCTTTTTCTACAAAAACATTCGTACAGACATCAGCAAGATCATCTAAAGGGAAGGCAGGTGGGGCCCTTCCAGGCGAGGACAGTGCAG